GGCGGGCTGGAGGACGCGGAGCTGCGGGAAGCGCAGCGAGATTACCTCGATTTTCTGGACGATGAGGTGAGGCCGGGAGCGGGGCTGCGTTCCCCGCCGTGCCCCCGGGGGTCGGGGAGCACTTGGTCCCTGTGCCCCCCGCCTGCTTGGTCGATGGGGCTAAAGGGAGCCGAGCTCTGCAGGAATCAGTACCTGGAGGGGGGATGCCTCATCATGCAAAGTGAGTTAGCTTTTTATTTTGGTTTTGTTTTGTTTTTTTCCCCTACCCCTTTTTGCAGGAAGATCAAGGGATTTACCACAGCAAAGTCCGGGACATGATCAGCGACAACCAGTATCGCCTCCTGGTCAGCATCAACGACCTGCGGCGGAAGAACGAGAAGAGGGCCAACAGGTTGGTGTGGGGCGGTGGGGTTCGCCTTTGGCACCCTGCCCTGGGTGGGATTTCAGAGGTCCAGCCCTGGTTTTGCAGGCCCTCTGTGCCAAGGAAGAGCCAAACCTTGTCCCCAGCGTAAAAGGAGGACTTGCCCTCTCCCTCCATGGCACCCATCCCTTCCAAGCTTGCAAACCCATGATTTGGCAAAAAACTTTTGCAGCAAGCTGGGGTTGATTGCACGATATAAATTACTTTTTTTTAGGATGCTTGGGGATATTTTGGACCAGGCTTGCCAGTCTGCTCAGGGACACGTGAGGTTTTTCAGATGGGGTTGGGTTTGTTCAGCTCCTGGCTGTTGGTGGCAGTGAACCTGACACAGAGCTACGACGGGCTTTGTTTTTTTTTTTTTTCCCTTCTTGCTCCTAATAAACTCGCAGAGCACATGGAGGCATGGGTAGGTGTTGAGGAGGAAGGCAGAAGGGGCTGCTGATCGGTCCGCATCGTCGCATCCCTCTGTTGCAGGCTCTTGAGCAACGCCTTTGAGGAGCTGATCGCCTTCCAGCGCGCCCTGAAGGATTTCGTTGCCTCCGTTGACGCCACCTACGCCAAGCAGTACGAGGACTTCTACATCGGGCTGGAGGGCAGCTTCGGCTCCAAGCACGTGTCGCCGCGGACGCTGACAGCCTGCTTCCTCAGCTGCATTGTCTGCGTGGAGGGCATCGTGACAAAATGTGAGACCAGGGGAAGACCCAGGGGCTTTGGGGGTGGTGGGTCCAGGCGTTTGCTGCGGAGGGGCTGGAGTCCACCAAGAGCCATGGTATGTCCTGGCAACCTAGGCGAAGGGAGCAGGGGGCTTGGCAGAAGGTCTTGAGCGTTGGGATGGTCTTTGAGCTCAGCAAATCCTGGCTGTGGTTGACAGCGGGTTGTGTCCCAAGTGCAGTTTAGCGGTGGAGAACCTGTTGGGGACTGTCTGCTGACAGATGGGTGGGACCATCCCTGCCCCTAATTCCTGTTTCTTCCGACCCCAGGCTCTCTGGTTCGTCCAAAGATCGTCCGGAGCGTCCATTATTGTCCAGCTACCAAGAAGACTATTGAGCGACGATACACAGACATGACCTCCCTGGATGCTTTCCCATCCAGCTCTGTCTACCCTACGAAGGTGAGGTGAAGCAGCCTTGTGGGAAGCATCAGCAGGTTCCTCTGGGGAGAATGTGCCAGCTCCAAGCCCAGGATCTCAAATCCCTGTGCATCCTTTCTCCCTTTGCCACCATAGCCCATGGAGTAGAGAGAGGACACATTACACATGTGACAGTTCCAGAGAGCTACTAGGAACATGTGAAGAAAGTCTCTGTTGGACAAAAGGCATCCAGACCTGCTAGTTCAGATGTTAGATATGATCTTGGTTCTGCTGGAGCATGGCTTCTTGGGGGGTTGTCAGCCAGTCTTGTGACACCTGGGACCCAGGTCAGCGTGGGCATGCCTGGGCTGTCCTGGAGGGTATAAGCACCCTTGGGTAGAGGGTTTGCCCTGTATTTGGGAATGCAGGAAGGTTGCCCTGAGCTTTGTCCCCGTTGTGTACACAGCCTGCTGCATGGGTGGTGTGTCACCACTGCCTGCAGCAGGGACAGGGCTTGGAAAGACCTAATGTACCAGTAGTGATGGGTGTTGGCAGCTTTAGACTGGGGGGGCCTGTGGAGCTGGTGAACACCAGCATCCATCAATCTTAATAAAGCCACCCTTTCCAGCAGTCTTGTGTATGCTGGGTGATGCAGCCTGTCTTCCCACTGCTCAGCTGACCCACCTCTTCTCCCCGTGCTCCTGAAAAACGGTGCTAGTCTTTTTATTGGGGTTCCTCCTCTAGGATGAAGAGAATAACCCTCTGGAGACAGAGTTTGGACTCTCCGTCTACAAGGACCATCAGACCATCACCATCCAGGAGATGCCTGAGAAGGCACCAGCAGGGCAGCTGCCACGCTCGGTGGATGTCATTCTGGATGATGACCTGGTGGACAAGGTGAAGCCAGGGGACCGCATCCAGGTGGTGGGGACGTACCGCTGCCTGCCAGGAAAGAAAGGGGGTTACACTTCAGGGACTTTCAGGTGAGCCTTCTTTTGTTTTGACTTCAGCCCTCCCACCCTTTTTAGTCAGGCCACATCTTTGGAAGATGAGATCTAGGGCAGGCAGGTGGCTATTGCAGAGCTGGGTCAAACACTGGCTCAAATCACTTGGAAGTGGTTTGCACCTTGCTCCTTAGCACCAGTGTGTAGCTGTGAGCTCCAGCTGTGCACAGAGAGGGTTGGATGCTCTTAAAGATGATCCACTGATGGCCCTGTGCAGTCAGACAGGGGAGGCTACAGCTCTTGAAGCTTTCCATCCCTCTCCAGGACTTCCTAGAGCAAATGATGACCCTGTGGAAGTTTCTGCTGTGTTGTTGCTGTGACTTGTAGGCTCTGGGGTTTGCAGACCTGATCATGGCTGTGTCCCTTCTCCAGGACTATCCTCATTGCCTGCCATGTGAAGCAGATGAGCAAAGACATCCGGCCTCTCTACTCTGCTGCTGATGTGGCCAAGATCAAGAGATTCAGCAAGAGTCGCTCCAAGGTATTTAAGCCTTACATCTAGAAGGCAGGCTTGTATCAGAGCATGAGGTTTTCAGCTAGAGCACCTTTAAGGCTTGGCATGTGGCTAAAGAGGTGTCTTGTTGGGTTGCAAGTAACTCTTCAACCCTCTTAGCAACGTTGCTGGATTTTCCACTCTCTTTCTTTGCATTTTCTGCTTAGGCTTTGATCAGGTCCTGGGTTTTTTTATTGCTGCTTTTGTACTGGTAGCAGAGTATCCTTCCTGCCTGCTGGCAGCTCTGCTGTGCATAGCTGTTGAGACAGAGATCTGCCTGTGTTTGTGTCCTGACCCTGCCAGCTGGTTGCCAGAGAATTTCCTCTGCAGGAGAAACACCTCCCTCTTTCCTCCTCAAACCTAAATCCAGAATGAGATATGGAGGTCTGCCCTAGCCTGAGCTTATGCTCAGGCCTTTGCTTCATAGTGTGGAGAGGAGAAAGCCTTGCTGTCACAGGGGTTGCTGCTTCCAGTGCTTGCTTGGGTGACTGACAGTCAGGATGGTCTGGCACTTCAGAGCCCTGTTAAAAAAAAACTCCAGCAAACGGTCTTCTCCTCCCTAAATAATTTTCATCCATGTGGTTCTGTGATAGAAATAAGCTCCTTTTTTGTGCTGAAATGGACTTGTGGAGTATTGCTCCTTCTTATTTGCTACAGCCCATCTGATGGGCCGTGCGCTGTCTCTTCTGCCTTAGGATATCTTTGACCAGCTGGCGAGGTCCCTGGCTCCGAGCATCCATGGGCACGAGTACATCAAGAAGGCCCTTCTCTGCATGCTGCTCGGAGGGGTGGAGAAGGTCCTGGAGAACGGGAGCCGCATCCGAGGAGACATCAATATCTTGCTGATAGGTCTGGAAAGGCTAGGCAGAGGCATCCTCAGTTGGTGTTGTCGGGGGGGGGGAGATGAAGGAGCATTTTCCTGGACTTAGTTTTATAGAGTAATTGAGGTTAGGTGGGACCTCCAGAGGCCTCTGGTCCAAGCATGTGCTCAGGGCAGAGCCAGGGTCACTGGTAGATGAGGTTGCTTTGGGGCTTGTCCAGTTGTTTTTGAACATTTCCAAGGATGGGATCCCACGACCTCTGTGGGCCACTATCCCAGTGTTTGACCACCCTCAAGGAGATTTCGTTTTCTTCTACCATCCAATTGGGATTTCATGTGTTCCAAATTGTCCCTGTTGCCTCTGGTCCCGTCACCATCCACCTCTCAAAACTCTGACTCCATCTTCTCTATTTCTTCTTATTGGGTCTTTGAGGAAGGCAAAGAGATCATCTGATCACCTTCCTTTCTGAAGGTTGAACAAACCCACTTCTCCGTCCCTTTCTTTTTTCCCCACTGAGGAGCCCCAGACTGGACACGTTATCCAGGTGATGTGTGATTACTAAATGCAGTCTTCTCCATTTCAGGAGACCCTTCTGTCGCCAAGTCTCAGCTGCTGCGGTACGTGCTCAGCACCGCACCCCGCGCCATCCCCACCACTGGCAGAGGCTCCTCCGGTGTTGGCCTGACTGCCGCTGTCACCACGGACCAAGAAACCGGTGAGGACCGGGTTGGTTCCCAGTGGGAGCTTGCAGAGGGATGCTTGTTAGCACCTGGGAGGGACTTTGCAAGACCCACGGCTGCTGTTCGTTCTGCAGTGACACTTGCAGGACTTACTCCACCCAGAAGCTTTATGGCAATGTTAGTGGTGTTTAGGGGTATTTTCTCCACCTCTGTTAGGTGGTGGTCTTCTCTACTCCTCTCCTACTTAAAATCATAGAATCGTTTAGGTTGGAAAAGACCTTTAAGATCATCAAGTCCAACCGTTAACCTAGCGCTGCCAAGCCCACTACTAAACCTAAGCACCACATCTCCCTGTCTTTTAAATACCTCCAGGGATGGGGACTCAACCACTTCCCTGGGCAGCCTGTGCCAGGGCCTGACTACCCTTTCAGTGAAGAAATTTTTCCTAATATCCAATCTAAACCTCTCTGGGTGCAACCCATGTGGTGCATCCCATGGAGGGCTAGCAGCAGCCTGGATCTTACTGTCTTCCTCATGGGCTTGCTCCTTATCCTAAGTGTCCTCCTTCTGCTGTCAAGTTGGGTAGGAGATGGGCAACCCTGAAGGTTGCTGCTGCTCTTTGAGCTTAGCCTAGTCACAGGGGTTGCGGTGGAGGAGGACAGTGGGGAGGGAGATAAATGGGGCTGCTGAATGGTGGTTGACCCTCTTTTTCTCCCACCCCATCCCAGGTGAACGGCGCCTGGAAGCAGGGGCCATGGTGTTGGCCGACCGGGGGGTGGTGTGCATTGACGAGTTTGACAAGATGTCTGACATTGACCGCACGGCCATCCACGAGGTGATGGAGCAGGGCCGTGTCACCATCGCCAAGGCCGGCATCCATGCCCGCCTCAACTCCCGCTGCAGCGTTCTGGCAGCGGCCAACCCTGTCTATGGCCGGGTGAGTGCTGGCATTTGCTGGTCCCCTCCATAGGGAGGGATGCTGGGAGCTGTCTTGGTGGAGGAGGCAGCTGGTAAAACCCAAAAGGCCCCCAAAACCAGTGACTTGGTTCTTGCTGGGACTGGGATCTCTGGGGCAGCGAAGATCTGGTTGATTTGGTCTCTGTTGCTGCTCGTGGCCATCCTGGAGGAGAGAGGGGCTTGTGGGGTTTCTCACCCCAGCTCGGTTCTGCCTGGGTGTCTTGGGGCAGCCCAGTGGACCCGCATCTTGTTGACAAGCCTCAGTCTTGGTGTCTGATCTGGAATAACAAAAAATATGTTTTCCTTGCAAATGAGAGCTATGCCCACCTTTCAGGGTAGGGAAAAGAGGCCTTACTGCTGCAGCAGGCTGGGTTTAGTGTGGAGTCCAGCTGCCTGGGCACCCATCCTCTAAGGCCTGGCCCAAGTAGGTCCTCCCAGCCTCCCTGGCAGGCAAGACTGGCCCGGGAGGGTCTCCTGTAACCCCTTATCTCATCCTCTTGCAGTATGACCAGTACAAGACGCCCATGGAGAACATTGGCCTGCAGGACTCCTTGCTCTCCCGCTTTGACCTGCTCTTCATTGTGCTGGACCAGATGGACCCCGAGCAGGACAGGGAGATCTCGGACCACGTCCTGCGGATGCACCGCTACCGCAACCCCAACGAGCAGGATGGGGACGGTGAGTTGCTTGTAATTGTGCAGCTGCCTTGTTGCTCGGTCCTGTCCTTCCTTGGCAGGTTGTCACCTCTTAGTGACAGCTCATTGGGTTCAGCATCCCTGGCTTTGTTGAGAGCTGCTTTTGGAAGTCACTCCAGCAATGCTGCAAGAGGCTAAAAGCCCGTTCTCTGTGACCCTTCCCTCTCCAGCCATGCCCCTGGGCAGCGCTGTGGAGATCCTGGCTACGGAGGACCCCGACTTTGTGCAGGAGGAGGAACAGGAGCTCCAAGTGTATGAGAAACACGATGACCTTCTGCATGGGCCCAACCGCCGCAAGTGAGTCACCCATCACACGTCCTCTGGAGCTCTCTGGGGGTTTCCAGCACTGGGAGTTGATGGGTTTGGCTTGAGTATCCAGGCAGTGGCTGATGGCTGGTGCCAGCAATGTTCCGGGTGGTCCATGGGGAGGTACGTGGGCAGGGTGCCGAGGGAGCCCTGCTCTGGGCTTGATCCGTCATGACAGGCAGGTGGGGAACATCTGGAGCTGAATTCCCCATGTGCCTGGACACCCGCGAAGGGTAAAAAGTGGGAAGTCCACTTCTCCAAACACCCTTTGCCCTGTCCCCACCTTGGAGGACACAGGTGCGTACACATTCCCTGCAGGGAGAAGATCGTCAGCATGGAGTTCATGAGGAAGTACATCCATGTAGCAAAGATGATTAAGCCCGTCTTAACCCAGGAGTCAGCAAGCTACATAGCGGAGGAGTACTCCCGCCTGCGCAGCCAGAGCCAGATGAACTCGGACATTGCCAGGGTGAGCCCTGGGAGCAGCTCCCTCTCAGGCCAGGAGGAGGGAAACTGAGGCACGGGCTCCCCTCTACCCTTACGGGTGTCTTCCACCCTTGGTGGGATACTGCAGTGGGGTTCAGCCTCCTGGAGACACCTCTCTCTGTTCCCCACCAGACCTCCCCAGTCACAGCCCGTACGCTGGAGACCCTGATCCGCCTCTCCACGGCCCACGCCAAGGCCAGGATGAACAAGACAGTCGATCTGCAGGATGCCGAGGCGGCTTTGGAGCTTGTGCAGTTCGCCTACTTCAAAAAGGTGGGGGGAAGGTGTCCCTCGGTGCTCGGGTGGTCCTAAAATTGTCATTGAAAGAGGTGGGTTTGGTGCAGGCTGAGCACCGTGGGCTGCTGGTGGAGTTCTTTCCTGGTGACGGGGCAGTGGTGGGGTCTTGGGTCCCTCAGGGTTGGCCCCTGAAAAGCAGCTTGAGTAGAAAAGGGGCCTGAGTCTGTCCTGTCTTTTGCCACACAGGTGCTGGAGAAGGAGAAGAAGCGGAGAAAGCAGGCGGAGGATGACTCAGAGACCGAGGAGGAGGACGAGGAGTTGCAGCCCAAGGAGGAGCGCAGGACGAGGAGGTAGGAGCCAGAGCAAGGGAGAGGGCATGTCATGCGAGAGGCACCAGCCTCTTCTGAGGTTGTGGCAGGCAGTGCTGGCATTGGGGAAATACTCCACGTTTTGCTCAACTTAGTGGATCGTCCCCCACCAATTTGTAATAGAGGGACATCGTTATTTCATGGATAAGGAACTGGCTGGATGGCCACCTCCAAAGAGTTGCAGTCGATGACTCAATGTCCAAATGGAGATCAGTAACGAGTGGTGTCCCTTAGCAGTCTGTACTGGGACCAATACTATTTAATACCTGTGCAAACCTCATGAAGTTCAACAAGGCCAAGCGCAAGGTCAAGTGCTTGTGTCAGAGCAATCCCCAGTATCACTACAGACTGGGGGGGATGGATGGATTGAGGGCAGCCCTTCAGGGAAGGACTTGGGAATACCAGTGGATGAAAAACTGGATATGAGCTGGCAATGTGCACCTGCGGCCCAGAAAGCCAACAGTCTCCTGGGCTGCATCAAAAGAAGCGTGGCCAGCAGGTTGAGGGAGGGCATTCTGCCCTTCTACTCTGCTCTTGTGAGACCCTGCCTGGAGGGTAGATTTAGATTGGAAATAAGGAAAAAAAAATTATGGTAATGGTAGTGAGACACGGGAACAGGTTGCCCAGAGAAGTGGTGGATGCCCCATCATTGGAAGTGTTCAAGGTCAGGTTGGATTGGGGCTTTGAACAAACCTGATCTACCAAAAAATTACCCTGCCCATGGCAGATGATCCAGCCCCAAACCTTTCTGTGATCCTATGACACTCCACAGCCCCCAGGGCTGGTGCTGACTTGGGTCCCGTGCCATGGGCAGGGGTTTGTGGCTGGAGGGTGGCTTACCCGTGAGCTGCAGGTACCCTGCATGGTCTTGGCCAGACGTCTCCAGGAGCTTGGGGTTGCGGGGTGGTCCTGAGGTCTGTGGTTTGGATGGAGGAGGGGTGACGTCTTCTTCCCCCACCCAGGAGAAAGAAGGCACGCACAGGAGGCGAGGGGGACTCCTACGACCCCTATGACTTCAGTGATGCCGAGGAGGAGATGCCAGAGGGTGAGTCCCTGGGGTTTTGGTGGCACCTGGCTCCTGAGGGTGCTGCTGCCTTCTGCCCTGGTGGGTCTCTGCACACCCTGGGAGCAGCAATGTCTTGGGGTCACTTGGGATCCCTGGTGCAGTTCAGCACCATCCAGCCCCACAAATCAAGGTGAATTTTTTTTTTTAAACCCTCCATGGCCGTGTGAGACAGGAGAGTTAGTATTGCCGGTTATTTTTTTTTTCTGTCCACTTCCAAAGTGCTGCAGAAGTAACAACGTTGGGAGGGAGTTTGGCATCATCCACCCTATCCTAAGGCCAAGTGCTTTTGCTCTCTGGGTGCTTGGACACCAGGCAGGTTGAAGGTAACTCTTTCTTCTGCTCCAGTCCAGGCACACACTCCAAAGACGCCCGAAGCCTCGGCTGCTGCCGAAGCGAAGAAGCCGGAGTTGGCTGAGGCGAGGTGAGTGGGCACTGGAGGAGGCATCTGTCCCTGCGTGTCCCACCCCATCCTGGTGGGGCCAAGCTATTATCCAATGCTGGAGATGCATCTGTGGTGGGTGCTCCCAGCTCCAGTTTCTGCTTTCCTGCTGGGTGCCACTTCTGGAATGGGGAAGGGCTGGTGGATCCTGGGCTGGGAAGGAAGGGGAAGGACTTGTGTGTGTGGTCTCCAAGGGTGATTACTTCTCGCCTTCCCTGACCAGGTTGAAAGCGTTCAAGGCTGCTCTCCTGGAGGTCTTCAAAGCTTCCCACGCCCAGTCCGTGGGTTTGAAGAATGTGATGGAGTCCATCAACCGCGACAACCCTGAGCCCTTCTCGCTGGCTGAAGTGAAGGTGGCGTTGGCCCACATGCAAGATGACAACCAGATCATGGTGTCTGATGACATTATCTTCTTAATCTGAGCCTCTGGGTGGAAGAGCCCAAGTTCTTGTGGACTCTTCAGTCTGGAGATTCTTTGTGTTTGCCTTCAACTCTCTCCTGAACACGTCATCTGGCTGAGCTGAACTTTGGAGAGCTCAAGTTTGTGCACTTTACAGTCCTTCCTCGCTGTGCATTGCTGGCACCAAAAAAGCCAGGAGCTCTGGAAGCTCTCTTACTGTTGCTGCCTCCAAACTGGAGTATTTGGGAAGAGGTTTGTTTCTGCAAGGAGCTGAAAGGAAAAACTTATGTGCAAATTATCAGTGTTCTTAATGTATTGTTTTTAGCTTTGGTGGTAACAGTTCCAGCCTTTGAATAAAAAAATCTGGATTTAGGTATCCAACATTCAGTAGCAGTGGTGGTAAGAAGCAATATGGGAGCTCCACTGTTAGTAGTGAAGCTTTTATTTCCCCCCCCCCCCTTTTTTTTTTTTCCCTTTTCCCCCCAATTACATAGCCTAGATTTACTCATCTCACAAGTAAAGATGCCTAATGCCTGTCCTGTTGGCTGTGACCAGCCTCTTTTTTTTTCTTACCCACCTTGTGGAGGACAATGTCTGGTGATGCAGGGGCAAGCGTAGTCCGACCTGCTCCATCACCCATGGGTCAGCTTGATTTCCAGATTTCACAGCCCTGCTGGGAGTTTTGGTCCCAAGCGAGTGGGAAGGACCTGGGATGCTCAAAGGTGCCCAGGGCACATGTCCCTGCCACAGGTGGGTTTGGTCTCCAGTTGCTCCTGCCTTCAGTCTGGGATTGTGCTTGTATGAATATAACAGGGCCACCTCAAATGGGGAGGAAATCTCTGGCAAAGAAAGGTCAAAGGTATGGGGACCTGGGATCCTGCATCCCCTGTACGTCCTGCTGGCTGAGCCACTGCAAATCTTCCTGCGTCCCCTGGAAGGTAACCACAAGCTACTGAGACTGTAAAAGCCTTCCCTGCTCTTGGGGGATTTGTTGAACTGTCTTGCTTTCTGGGAACACATAGGTGACCGCTTCTTGGAGAAAGGCTGTTCCTAGAAACCAGCAAACTCCCATGGTTTGGGATGGTTTTCAAGAAAAGCTGAATGTGCAGCTAGACCAGTCTCAGCTGCTCGTGGTGGCAGAGCTGCTGAAGGTTTGGGATTTTTTTAATTTTTTTTTGTTTGTTTTTTTTTTTTTTCCCTCATCTTGGCAAGTTTGAGGTTAAGCTTTGGAGAAGACCCTGATCAGCACAGGCTGTTTGCTGTTGTCCCTGCCCGTCTCTGGGCACCGTCACAGTTCACGTGCCCTTGTTTCTGGATGCCATAAATACTGATTTGAATAATAAAAATGTCTAGATACTGTTTCCCCCATGACTCACTGCTTACTTGGATTTAAACTGTTCCCACTTCTGGGGATGCAGCTCTGCAGTCTTCTGGGGACCTGTGCTGCTATGGAAAGCCTTCAGGCAGCTGCCTGCTCAGGGATGGCGTTGGGCACGTCCTCCCACCGCCGTGTCTTTGCCTCAGTGGACCAGGCGCTTGCAGAAATGCCCTTGGAGTGGGTGGGTAATACATGTGGGCAGCTCTTGCCTCTCCCATGGCATTTATGTGGCTTCTGCCCACCTGGAGCTACACGTCCCGGTGGCTAAGAGGACTTGGTAGCATCTCATTGCACAGGGAGGCTGGCAAACCTCCATTTCCCTTCTGCAAACAGAAATATTGATTTATAAAAGCCTGATTTCTGAGCTCCCCTTATCCAACACAGCTGTGACAGCAGACTTTTTAGGTTTGGAGGGGATTTTGCATGTTGGCAGTCTTCTAAAGATCTCTGTTTGGATGCATTGCACTTCTGCAGAGTGGCCTCAGACTGGCGGCCAGAATCTGGCTCGTAAAACTGTGAAGGCCGGTGAAGGTGTTAAATACAGATGGCCAGACTTCTGTCTCAGTGGTTTTATGACACAGGTCCGGGCCTGAGCTTTGTGGGGCTGGGGGGGAAGCTGAGTCAGCACGCTCTGCTCCTGCATGGCCACCACCGTGGTGGCTCCACGCTGCAAAGTCCCTGGGCAGGAGCAATGGGCCAAACCTACCCAGGTGCCTTTTTCAGAGGGTGGGTGGTAGTTTCTTACCAACTCATCTGTGGGTAAAGGAACCAACCTTTTTCTTCTGGAAAGGTGCCTGGGTGCTTATAAGAAGTCCCCTTGTAATTTCTGCAGCTCTGACCTTGCCTTGCTGTAGGAGTGGGGATACTGTCATCTCCTTCCTCTCTCCCTGCTTCTCTCTGACTTTTGGAGGCTGTTCCTCTTTGCAGGTTGCAGCAGGGACCAGTGAGGGCATTTGGTGAGAGTGGCTTTTTGGAGCCATCTCCTTTTCTCTTTCTGCTGAGGCCTTTATCTTTTCCCTGTCCTTACAGCTGGGGAACTGCTAATATTGTGTTTCCCATGACAAGACACCAGGAGGAGCTCGAGGGCAGGTAAATGTCTGGTTTATTTTACTATGCTATAGCATAGGATGGTAGGAGTCAGCTATCTATACAGAGAATATATAGCTATCTATATAGATCTCTATAGGGGGAGACCTTATCGCTCTCTACAACTACCTGAAAGGAGGTTGTAGCGAGGTGGGTGTTGGTCTCTCCTCCCAAGTAACAAGCGAGGATGAGAGGAAACGGCCTCAAGTTGCACTAGGGGAGGTTTAGGTTGGATATTAGGAAAAACTTCACCGAAAGGGCTGTCAGGCACTGGCACAGGCTGCCCAGGGAAGTGGTTGAGTCCCCATCCCTGGAGGTGTTTAAAAGCCGGGGAGATGTGGTGCTGAGGGACATGGTTTAGTGGTGGACTTGGCAGTGATAGGTTAATGGTTGGACTTGATGATCTTAAAGGTCTTTTCCAACCTAAACGATTCTATGGTTTTATCTACCCTCCCCCTGCCCCTCCGTGTGCTGGTGGCCACCTTGGTATGTCCTTTGCAATTGCTCAGGCCCTTGGGAGAGTGGTCTTTGCTGACAAGGGAAAAACATATCCCTGATCCTTGGAGAGAAGCTCACTTGGCTGGTGGGTCTGTGGATGGTCCATAGCTTGTGGGACAGCTGGTATGGGAACTGTAGATGGTGAACTGGCAATGGCTAGGAAGGCAACTTCTTGGCTTCTTTGGCTGCTCTTTGACCCACATAGGCTGTGTTCAGACCAAAGAAACATCCCCTAAATGCTCCCCCTAGGGCTTTGCTTTGGATAAACAAACCTGTGTCTTCCTCAGCCTTGCCAAAGGAATTCAGGTAAGAGGTGCCATGCGGGGAGTAGGTGGGAGAGAGGTAGAAAGGAGTGGGATGCACAGGAGCAATGTCAGTTTGCTGTCAACGTTAAGAAAATTGTTTTGGCAATGAGTGGTCAACTAACCCTATGGATGGAAGATCTGGATCTACAGATCCCAAAGGCAGAGAGGTTTGTGGCGATCAGCTGGATCTGACCAACAGCCTTAATCTGCAGTGTTACCACAGAGGTCATGCAGTTCTTGGATGCTCATCCACATGGACACTGAAACTATATCTGCTCTTATAAAACAAACAGTGCCAGGGTCCAGACTTGGGCACTGCACCTCAGCTAGCTATATTGGATTGGTCCTTGGCACAGTTTTGATGGGTTTAACTAGCCATCTCCCAAACAACTTTTGGCCATGATTCAGGAGTGTGCATTTTCGATGCGGGGAGCTTTTGATACTAGCAACACGGTCAGACTGTGCCAATTGGTTTCGGTTCTAGAAAAAGAGTCTCTGCCACTGTTTAATTTACTAATATTTGCTAATATTTATATAATATTATTTGCTATTATATTTCATTTCTAGACTTCGTTCTTGCTGATGGAAAAGAACTGATTGAAAGTTCCGCAGTCGATGAAAATGATGATGGAGTTTGTGATACTTAGGAAAAAAAAGGAAGGAGACCATGGAACGAAGATTGCAGTTCTCAAGAAACCTGTCTTGAGCAATGTTAGGGGCTCAATAGGGAAGATCCCATGGGAAGACAGCCTGGAAAAGGATTTCTATGTCTTGAAGAAATAATACTAAGTGCAAACTGGGTGAAACAAATTTTGGATTCTTTTAGGTAATGATTCATCTGATATAGATGGGACTAAGTCTGAGCATCTGCAGGAGTTAGGATTAATTGGGATTAAGATTAATAAATATTAACTGTGGTCTAAATGTGCCTGTTGCTCTGATGAGTCTAAAGCAAGCCTAAATTTCCAAGCTCAGCTCCAGGTGTCTTGATTTTAGATGACTGAGGTCAGTTGAACTGAGCCAGTATGTTGGATTCCTTCTGGGGAATCTTGGAGGATGGGTGAAGAAAACTGAAAGAGAGAGAAAAAAAAAAAAAAGGGGGAGAAAGAAAAGGAGAAACCAGGGAAAGCCATAGTTCCCAGAAAGCTGCAGGGACAGAAAATCAAGCAAAAGTTGTATCACAATAAAGCAATAGCAAATCTACAAGGCAAATCATGCCAAGCCAAACTAATGCTGCTTTTTGACAGGTAATGGGATTTGTGGTTAGGAAATGAACTGTAGGTGTGTTTTATCTTGGTGTTATTAAGCCTTTTGATACAGTTGCACATAACTCTCTCATAAGCATGCTAAAAAAGTGGTCTAGAAATGAAATTATGAGGTGGTGGGTGAATACTTGCTTGGAAAAGCCCTACTTAGAGAGTAGTTGTGATATGGGGAGGATGAAGAGAGCAGGATTCCCACAGGGGTTTGTCCTCGGTCCAGCACTGGTCACCCCTTTGATTAGCAGGCTGGGTAAGGGGATAGAATATCTTCCTACTAATATTGGCAGGTGATGGCCAGTTGAGGAGGGCCGTGAGCATTCAAAAGACGAAGTTGGAACTGAGGAAATAATATGAAATAAATAGTATCCAGTTCAATCAAGATGTGTATAAACCTTTGAACTAAAGTAGGGAAAATCATCTGCCTTAGTGAGAGACTGGAGGCTGATGGGGAGAGAATAGTCCTTTAGGAAGAGACTTGTTATTGAGCAAGTGGATCACAAGATAAATATTACCCAATAAGTGTCATGTTGGTGTCAAGAACGCGATATATCGGGATGTATAAAATGTTGTAGAGACTAAAAGACATGGTAGTTTCAAAAAAGAAAGAAATAAGCTTTTTTCCTTGGCCACAGAAGAGAATAATGAGCTTAATTCTAACATGCAGGTCTTCAGGAATAGGTTAGGCAGTCACTGATCAGGAATGATTCAAGTAGAGGTGCTGCTACACTGGGGCTGAGCAAGAGGCCACAGATGCACTAAGCTCCTTTCCAAGATCCCTTCCAGCCCAATTTCCTGTAATACA